TTTAGGAGATAGACACTAGAAGGAGGGAGTCCTGATATATAGGGTGACAGTCTGGGACTCATAGTGTTCTTAATAGGATAAGTCCTGACTCAGTCTGAATGAGAGTTGGGGCTGTTGCTATGGTCCGTGACGGTGATGTGGCCTGATAGAGAGTGATAGAGCCGTGAGAGAGAGGGGGCCTTTCTGAGGTCGGATGCAGAGGGACATGCCATCTGATGGATGTGGAGCCAGGGGGACACGGGAGAGCCTCATGTGCCTGCCAGGAGATGGCTCCTGAAGTCATTTCACTGCCCAGATGTCGTGCCTTTTGTTTTGGTTCACGACTAGGATGTATAGCTCGACTGGCACTCTTACCCACAGCCTATTTCCTCCTTTCAAACCTGCCTGTGATGCCTCATGTCTTATGCTATTGAGTCTAATGAGGCTTGGATGGATTGGCTTGTACCTTCTTTGTTCTTCTAGGGCCTGTAACATTGCAGTTAAGACATTGCCAGGTGCCTCTTATCTAAGAGGGTCAGGATATTTGGGGGGACAGTTGAGACATCAGCTGTCCAGCAGTCTTCTTTATCAGGAGCATGGCCGGGCACCTCTGACTGACTGTCCAGCAAAGATATCACAGTGTCCATACCTTTCCCTGCTGGCTGCCTGCCTGACCCAGTCTTTAGCTGGCAACTCTGTACTCGTATTTTAGACATGGTTTTGGTTATTTTTAGCTGCTGTCAGATCTGAAGGAGCTGCTACAGAAAGACATGCCCACTCAAAACCATTGGTTGTTGGTCCTTGTGAAAAGTGATGGGTTGAGCCCCACCGGGTGTGGCTAGTGGTTGAGCATCGATCCAGGAGCCAAGAGGTCACTGGTTCGGTTCCCAGTCAGGGCACACGGCTGGATTGTGGGCTCGATTCCTAGTAGGGGGTGTTCAGGAGGCAACCGATCAATGACTCTCTCTCTCATCATTGATGTTTCTATCTCTCTCTCCCTCTCCCTTTCCTTCTGAAATCAATTTTTTAAAAAAGTTGATGGGTTGAGATGGGAGGAAGAAAAACCAGGCGGCGTGGATGCAAGGCTGGAGGGCAGCCCTCTCTGCCCTGCTGTGTTTGGGGACAGCTTGCTCTATGTGTCTTAAAGTAGATGGAGCATCATGGGATTCCAGAATGGTGACCTGGACTTAGTAAGGTTTTACATTTTGTATGTTCTGCTTTGGAAGGCAGGGAGATACTGGCATTGCTGCCCCAGGTTTGGATGCCTTTGCTTTCCGGGAAGGACTTACTTGGTGAGGAGTTCCTGTAGCTACTCCCCTCCAGACTTTGTGACCTCAGTGTACGCCAACACCTAGAATAATGGCTGGAATTTGATGAGCAATTGGTAAATATTTGTTGAATGAATGGATTCGTCACAGAGGGGGAGACCTAGTTGACGGTGAGCTGACAAGGAGTGGCTTCTAGTCTGGTCACAGTAATGGATCACCTGTTGTAACCACTAGACAGCACTTTACACAACAGCCACACAACTGTGTTTAGGGAAAGAGCCTTGGAAGTAGAGCACCCTTCCTAGGTGCTTGTTCCTGGGATACATCATTTGAAAAGATTTTAATGAGGATATTCTCATTTTCAGCCTGCCGCTTATGAAATATCAGTCTATTATTGGTGCACAGCCCATCTGGAAGGTCTGTTTCTTGGCCCCAGACGCCATACACATCCCTTATTCTTCCTTCCTTCCTTCCTTCCTTCCTTCCTTCCTTCCTTCCTTCCTTCCTTCCTTCCATCCGTGCAGCAAACAGACATTTATGGAGCTGCTGTGTGCCAACCAGACACTGCTTTGGGAGGGAGGAGAGGTGGTGCTCAGATGAACACGCTGGTCCTGCCCTCAGGGAGTGTTCAGTCTGAAGTCAGTAACAGGAGCGCAGGCAGCTGCGGTGCAGTGTGCTAAGTGTGTATGTGATAAGGGGGGGTGGGCACCTGTTGCCCTGGTTGGGGGCGGGGACAAGCTGCTGAGGAGGGAATGTTTGGGCTAAGCCTGAGATGACAGTTTGCGGGCTTCCAGGGGCTGCCCCAGGTGGGATGTCCTGGCTGGCAGTGCAGGTGAGTTCATTACCTGGAGCCTTCTCAGTGTTAAGAGTGTCCACCCTGCAGACTGGGAGGAGTGAGAAGTGGTGGGTTCAAGTGCTGTGGCCTTGGCCCTGCTGTCTTCGTCCCACCCCTAACCCACTGGGACTCTGTTCTGAGGACCCCTCTATGTCAGTCCTCATCATTTTTACCAGCTTCTTTTGAGAGCTGGAGAGAGCCATTGGGAATTCTCTCTTCCAGCAGAAGAGACCAAAGAACATACTTGATGAAGGGAACTGGGTGGGGGAAAGTGTTTCTAAGTGAGTAAAAATAGATTTCCTATCCACCAGCCCTCTGTCTGCCACCTCTAAGTCCAGCTGAGGGTCTACCAGCAGAGGAGCCCGTCTGGCTTGGCAGAAGGCACTCACCGCCCCGAGACGGGTTCTTTTCCCAGCAGCCACCTTGAGCTCTTTCTAAATTAAGAACCATTTTAGAAACACATCAGAAAAGCAAGACTTGGAATGACCTAGACGGAAACTTGGGCTGACCTCCCTCATTTGGCGTGTGTGGAACTGTGTTTTTTCAGCCCATACTCGGTGTGTGTTAAAATTGCATACCGAGTGGTGGGGAGGAGGTTGGCTGTGGGGCCAGTTGCGTGTGGTGGCCCTGTATATTCAGGGCATCACTTCTGATTTGCAGCTGCAGGAGAAGCCCAGGATGGCCACGAGGATTTGGGGGAATTATGAATGGTTTCAGGTCACCTTTAGTGGTGCATCTGGGCCTAGAGCACGGGTCTCTTGCTCCCTCCCAGCCCAATTCATATATACTTTTTATTTCAGAGAAGAAGGGAGAGGGTGAGAGAGAGATAGAAACATCAATGATGCTAGAGAAAATCATTCATCGGCTGCCTCCTGCATGCCTTGCATTGGGGATCGAGCCTGCAACCTGAGCATGTGCCCTGACTGGGAATCAAAATGTGACCTCCTGGCTCGTAAGTCGACACTCAACCATTAAGCCACACCAGCTGGGCCCGGTCCAATTCTTTTTTGCGATGTTCTGCTGCTCAAGCTGTATTCTAACTAGTTTTATCCCAAGGAAACCTGCTAATGAATCATTGGCACGGTGGAACACAGCTATTCTAGTTTTTGCAGATTTCCTGTTTATATCGAGTGATCCATGAACAACGTGTACATATTTCTATGTAATTGGATTCACAGCTTCTTCTTCCTTTCTAGTCTACTTATCGAATGCTGGTAGTTTAGAACATTGCCCTGTATTTCTTGCCATTGGCAGTTGGATCCAGTGCTATGGAGAGAGAGGCCAGGGGGGCGAGATTCTGTGTCCGGGGGTGGGGTGTTCTTTACCAGGAGGTACCTAACAGCTGGTTGTCTCCCGTTGGGATGCTAGTATCCACTGGTACCCAGTACTTGGCGCCTGCCATTTGGTAGAAGTTGCAAATTTGAGATATTGCAGTTCTTGTATTCCTTCTTCGTTTCTTTGTTGGAAATAAATGAAAAACTCAGCCCATCTATTTACGAAAGCTTTATTGAGATTCACACACAATACAATTTACCTGTCTGGAGTGTACAATCCAGTGGCTTTTAGTATATTCTTAGAATTGTGCATCTGTTAACACAGTCATTATCTTAGAACATTTCATTAACCCCCGCCGTCCTCATCCCACCAAAAAAACTCTACTCACCTGAGTGGCCACCCCACAAACGCTGCAGCCATAAGCAAACCCTACTCTAATTTCTATCTCTGGATTGACCTGTTCTGGACCTTCCACGTACTATGTGGTCCTTCATAACTGGCTTCTACTTAGTTTTCAGTTTCCAGGGTCCATCCATGTTGTAGCATGCGTCAGAACTTCATTCCTTTTTATGGTGAAATACTGTTTCTGTTTTGTGGATAAGGCCACAGTTTATGTATCCATTCACTGGTTAATAGACACTTGGGCCGCTTCCACTTTGCGGCCATTATGAATAACGCTGCTCTGAAGGTTTTTTTTACAAGTTTCAGTGTGAACATAATGTTGTCATGCTTTTTGAATATAGACCTAGGAGTGGAATTGCTGAGGCCAATGGAAGCCGTGTTCTACCATCTGAGGACCTCTTAGGCTGTTTCCGAAAGTGGCTGCACAATTTTTCATTCCTATCAGCAGTACCTGAGGGTTCCAGGTTCTCCAAGAGGTGTTCTCTGTCTTTTCGATGATAGCCATCCAAGTGAGGGGTCTCGTTATGGTTTTGCTTTGCATTTCCCCAGGGACAGTGAGCACCTTTTCATGGGCTTATGGAGAACTCTTTCTCCATCCTTGGCTCCTTCTGTAATGGGGTGTTTGCCTTTCTATTATTGAATTGCAATAATAGTCCTGTAGTCTAGATAGAAATCTCTTATCAGACATGTGATTTGCCAACGCTCCCATTCTGGGTTGTGTTCAGGCTTTCTTGATGTCTTTGTGTCCTTTGAAGCACCCAAGCTTTACATTTCGATGATGTCCAGTTTATATTTTTATTTTCCTGCTTATGTTTTTGGTGTCACATCTAAGAAACCATTGCCTAATCCAAGGTCATGAAAATTCACGCCTATGTTTTATTATGTTTTATCCTGAGAGTTTCAGGTCTTTGATGCACTTTGAGTTAGTTCATGTATATGCGTCATCTACTCTTTGATTACCTAGGGCTACAATAAAGACAGGATCAATGTTTGATCCCCCCCCACCCTTTATTTACCAGTTTTCAAGGTGTTGGTTCCCTAATATCCTTGTTTGGTGGGTTTTTGTTTAGACTTAATCATGAGTTTGTATCATACTACAGCCAATGAAAAATTTTAAAATTTTGCATCCTGTGTCGCATACATATATATGCAAAATACAGAGAAAAGTGATCTTTAAAAATCTCTTTGTTTCTTACCCAGCTGTCATGTCCTAAATCTTCATCTATCCACTTGCTTTCCAGAAACATGCCAAAGGCCAGGACCTGTTTGATCAGATCGTGTACCACCTGGACCTCGTGGAAACAGACTACTTTGGCCTCCAGTTCCTCGACTCTGCCCAGGTCGCGGTATGTCTTCCTTTGACTCCTTTCAGGGCAGATCAGCTTTTCATTGCTACTCACAGAACCACAGCAGCTAGAAATTGGTAGAGGAACATAGGAGTGAAACTGTGATGTTGTTGCCATGACGAGCATTGGGATTCTGGTGATGGTGCTCCAGTGAGATGCACTCACAATGCCCCACCCTTCAGGTGGCCAACAACCGGGAGAGGAAGAGGGAGGGAACATTTATCTCAAGCACGGGGATGCATTAGGGAAGCACTTCCATGCGTAGGGATGCAGTGTGGGCACATTTCTCGAATAGGTAGACACCATTGTGGGAATTCTTCCGGTGGAGCTGCTTCTATTTTTAACCAGCAGAAGGGGCTGCACCACCATCCTGTGGTGCAGACTTGCTGGGCGTGGAGAGCAGGTGCTGTGAACAGGGCTGAGCCCCAGCCAGCTCGGGGCGGGGCAGTTGGAGCAGGTCTTGGCGTCGCTCGAGAACCATCTTGCAGGCTCCAGGAGGTGGTGTTAGGTCAGCAAAGACTTCCCTTGCTTTGCCTGAGACAGAAGTGTTCACAGTGGAGAGGCTCACGCCACCCCTTAGAATCCCTCATGTAGAAAGCAGGAATGACTTCAGGTCTCCCTCCCAACAAAATCTAGCTTTGGGCTTCGAAGGTAATGTATTCAACAATCTAAAAATATTTAGTGAGTGCCTCTCCTGCATGGGCCCCATTCTGAGCACTTTGGATAAAGCAATGAACACAAATATAAGGGGACAGGTAGTAATAAGTGTGAAGAAATATAAAGAGGAGTAAGGGATAGATAGGATAAGGGGCGGTGCTATGGTAGTGTGTGAAAAGGTGGCTCCCCGGCTCAGGCGGCATGGCTCAGTGTTTGTTTGAGCATCGACCTATGAAACAGGGGTCAAGGTTCGATTCCCTGTCAGAGAACATACCCAGGTGGTGGACTCGATCCCCAGTAGGGGGCGTGCAGGAGGCCGCAGATCAATGATTCTCACTGATGTCTCTATCTCTCTCTTCCTCTCCTTTCCTCTCTGAAATAAACAAAAGTATATTTTTTAAAAAAGAAAAAACGGTGGGTTCCCCTGATAGGAGATGTTTAAAAGCTAAAAACCAAGAGCTCCTCATATGTGGTGAAGCCTTTCTACCCGGAAGACACTTTTTATTACATCTTGGGAGCCCCACATGACGGTTGTAAAGTGAAGATGCTCAAAATCGATGCCTGGGAGTTGGGTCTGCCTGAGACTGTTAGTGTGGTGCTGAGCGTGCAGACGATACAGTGGAATCAGGACTTCAGTCTATCCTAGTTACAATATCTCTTTGAGCTAGTGGTCCTGATTCTTCTCCATTTCCCCTCTGCAGACTCTGACTCCAGCTCACCAGGGCCCCAGGGAGGGGCAGACCAGCCCTTCTCTTTCCACCTTCCTGCCCAGTTCCCTGCCCTCTGACCTCAGCAATGTTCTCCCCATCCCTCAAGGCTCTGGCCACCTCAGAATTCAAGTTGTTGATCCTTCTAAATATTCTGGACACTGTTTCCTCTCATTGAAGCTTCATCTGGCCAAACCTCACCTAGAGGCACTCTGGGCCTTGTCACCACTCCAAGATCCGGAATTCTGTTGTCCCCCATTTCAGGATCACCTCCCTTGATTCCATCTTTCCAGGCCCTCTGCATCTGGCCTCGGCCTTGACGATCCCCTCCTGCCTCATTCTCCCCTCTCCCGGCTGCCTGTTGCCCTTGCCTTCTTTCAGGCTTGGCAAAGCCTCGGCCATCTCACCTGTGTCCTCCTGTGCCCTTTGATTCTCCTGTCCCCATGACTGTCCCTGGAACCCCCTTTGACATTCAGGCCCATCTGTTTGCTCTGCTGCTTCTCCCAGTTGCCAAGCATTGCTGGAGAGTCACGGCTGTGCCTGTTGGCACCTGTTGGCACCAGCACAGATCACAGTTTCAGAGAAGTCCAAACCCCGAGCTCCTTCTGGAGCCTCATTAGCCCCTCATGGACTCTTTCCCACCCCCAAATATGGTTTTTTATTTTTTGTCTTTTTTTTTTTTTTTTTTTTTTTTTTTTAGAGAGAGCGAGAGAGAGAGAGAGAGGGAGAAACATTAATTGGTTGCCTCCTGCACACACCCCAACTGGGATTTGAACTCACAACCAGGGCATGTGCCCTGACCCGGGAATTGAACCAATGACCTTTTAGTGCACAGGCTAACACTCTAACCAACTGAGCCACACCTGCCAGGACCCCAATGTACTCTTATGTGCCCCATAGTTCCCTTTCTAAATCTTGATCACAAACATGTAATCCAGTCCCCATAAAACTTCAAATTGGCCTTATCTCCTCCTGAGAACACTGAGCTTATTTCGCTCAAATTCCTGGGGGTTTTTTCCCTGAAGACAAACCAGTCCTCCTTGCCATTTTGTCTTAAGGGAGTAGCCTGTTTCTCCAGCGTTTTTTCCCCAAACCTACAAGGATAGTTCCATTTCCAACTGCTTCTTCCTGAGTTCTGTCCCCAGCACCGGACGCTGGTCAGCTCTCCTCTTCCCTGAAACTCTTCTCTATTCTGCCTTCTCCTGTGTCTTTAACCTGTGGAATACCGTGTGGTAGCTTTGACTTCATTATACCTGTGGCCCTGGGCCAGCAGTCACACCTGGGCCTTGCTTCTGGCTCTGCCCCCGACTCATTTGGCGGGTTTTAGACTAGTCTTTGTTCTCAGTTTCCTTATCTGTAAAATGGGTTTCTTGGACCTATTCTCCCAAAAGCTCTTCCCGTTCTAATACTCAGTGATTCCGAGTCTAAAGAGGAGGCAGGCACGTCTGCCCCCCACATCTTTTCTTAATCAGAAGGGAGGAGATCTCTCTCATTTCTGCTATTAGAGCCAAGTGCCCATTGCCCTGGTGGCACGACCTCCTCCCCAGGTGACCCCCTCTCCAGCCACTCGGATTCCCAGAAAGCCAAAGATGCGACTCTATTTCAAAAGACTTTACCATGGACGTCTGCTCGCTTGGCTGCGAACTGTCCCATCCTCCGGTGCCCTGTCACCGTGCGGCAGGAGGTGTGTTCACAGCGGGATCCAGGCTTCCTTCCCAGGTCAGACACGGACAGATGCTAGCTCTCTGCAGGCCCTAAAGCCTTTCCAGGATCCCGCTCTGTGAGCGGATGTGATTTTCTTCCCCACAAAAGCAGGTACATGGTCCTCATCTGCCCAACTCTAGGACCCAGGAGCGTGTGGCCCCAGCAGCCCCAAGCCCCTTCTGCTAATTGTGTGATTTCTAAGCTGGGCTCCTTGGAGCGCAGGTCATGCCTGCACTCACTGCTGGGCCTTTGTTGGTGCTGGCTCCCCTCCTGGAATGCCCTTTCTCACCCCATTTCAACTTCTGGCCACCCTTCAAGACCATCTCAGGCGACACTCCATCACGGAGCACATCCTGAGTTCTCAGAGGGTTTTCCTCCACGGTGTGAACCGCTGAGCTTATTTTGCCTTCTGGGACAGCTTGCTCGTTTGGCCTGGGGATCTTATTTGTGTATATAAATAAACAAAGCCTTCCTGATTAGACCCGAAGACGTAGGACTTCCTCTTCTTCGCTGGGTGGATCTTGGTGACTTACAGAGCTGTGCCAAGAGAACCTGAGAACCTCAGTCGTTAGACCCAGAAGAGATGTTAGGAGCCACGTATTTCCATCTTCTAGATCAGAGGTGGGGAACACCTGGCCCGGGAGCCGTACAAGGCCTGAGAAATCATCTGGTCTGGCCTTGCCAAGGCATTAGGTGCGAGTCAATGAAACGTTTGACCACATAGAGCAGGCTAATTGTTAAGTTGATAATTTTGTATGGCCAGCGAATGATGTTATAAATATCCAAATGGCCCTTGGCAGAAAAAAGGTTCCCCACCCCATTCTCAATGGTGAACCCAAAGCCTTAGACTTTGGCAAGTCACTCAGTGAGAAGCACAGCTTGACTCAAGCCCAGTTTTTACGACTTCAGGTTCAAGTGCTCTTCTCGGCACTCTGGCTCTCGGTGTCGGTGTCGGTCTTCGTCACTGTGGTGACATCTGTGTCACGGGGCGTTGAGGGGCTTTGTGAACTAAGGGAACGGAAGCCGTTTTGTAATCTGACCTGGGTGTGGGTTTGCTCTTCCTAGCTGGACATTCTGAAGGGGACCAGGAGTCATCACAACCCCAGAGGTGACAGGCTGAGGTTGGCTGGGACCTGCAGGCTGTCTCTCCTGGGGGAGAACCCTTAGCAATCTCCACAGGAGCCCTTCGGCTTCCAGGGTATCATTGCTTTTTCTGAGAACCTGGGACAATGCGGTTGGTGGCAGGTGACTGGATGTGATGGCAGGTGTGTTTCTGGGGACAGTGGGATAATAGATGGGGGCCTGGCTTATTCATAATTGAAGCTCCTGCAAGGATCGACACCCCCCCCCCCCCCAGCCCCTGACATGCAAACCAGAGGGCTGGCCCAGGCAGAGCTCTTGGCACAGCTCTCTGAGTAAGTCACCAGCTCCGGGCCCAGCTCCCTGCAGAGCCAAGCCTGGTTTCCATAGTGCCTGGCCCAGCCCTGCAGCAAGGTCAGAGTCTATTGGCATCTCCTATTTTTAGCTGTTGGGGCTGGGGCCTCCTGTTTCCTTTCCCATGTCAAAGCGGGACGTCCACCTGGGAATCCTCTCAGTAGACCTCGCTTTTAAACAGCTCCAAGCAGGGGCAAGGGTTCTGATTTCACATATCAAGGCTTTCTTGGGAGAGCCTGCACCCACCCCCCAGCTTTCTCACAGCTGCTATTTACTGAATCCCCTCCCCCCTCCGCCCCCTCTGATTGAGGCATCTAACTAAAGGCTTTACATGATTCATGTCTAACATTCTTTATCACTGATCTGTACAGCGGACCAGGGGACAGACCCATTTTACAAATGATGACGCTGAGGCTCAGAGACACTTGAACTTGTAAACGTTAAAGTAAGGGACAGAGGTGCCACTCAGAACCTGACCACCTTCCAAAGCCCAGCACTTTCCTTCCATTGCACATGGTAACGTCACACACACACACACACACACACACACACACACACACACACACACACTGAAAGAGAACATTCGGTCAATAGCCATTGAGCAAACTTTGACTTGGAGCTTACTCAATGCCAAGCTCCATAGCGCAGAGGCGAGCTGGACCCTGCCCCTGCTGCCACATTCTGGAGAGGGAGCCAGACAAGTGGTCCTGGGAGTAGTGTGGTTCAGTCCCCCACTTTGGAGCCTGGAGGCCGATGGCCTCAGCACCATGGATGAGATGAACAAGGTGTCCCTGGGGGAGGGTGAACATGGGGTGGCCACAGAGGATGAGGGGACTGCCAGCCAGCAGAGGAGCAGCCGGGATTTGAGGGTCAATAACCTCCTCATCAAGCAGGTGCAGCCCTGCCCATCCGGGGCAGGTGTTCCACAGGTGCGGCCATTGTCAGTCCATTCCTCAGCCCCTCCCAACATAAAAGGGGGGACGTTTTATGGTGACATGTTTTACAGCAGGAAGTGCAGAAAAGGTGATTTGGGCCTTTCTCTCAAGCCTTAGGAGGTGTTTTTCCTCCGGTCTTTGTAGTGTGGAATTGGGTCGGTGGGTGATGGAGGCCCAACGCTGCGAGAGAAGGGTGAGGGTGTGTCATCGCTGGTAGTTGTCATCACATTTGCCACTTGTGTGGAGACCACAGAGCGATCCTTACTGCTTCCGATGCACTTGGAGGGGAAGTGGGGGAGTATAAACACTAAGAGAGGAGTAAGACACTGTCCTTCCATTTGAATGGTTCCTTATAGTTTCCATGGACACTCAGCTGATTCTTCAGTGTGCCAGGGGCTAGCTCAGTGCACAGAGGAGGACACCAAGGCTCAGGGGGCCCTTGCTCATAGCCACACACCAGGTGAGTGGCCGAGCTGGGACCTGAAATGTGATCTGCCTCCGTTTTAGTACACGTACCTGTGCAGCAGCTCCAGAAATGGCGCGGCCGGTTTCTGAATGCCCGCAGGGCGAGTCTTCTCCTGCCCGGGTGCAAATATTGGTAGTGAATCGGAAGCTGTGGATAAAGGGGACAAATCCCCCAGGAAACCTCAAGTAGCTGGTGTGAATGGTGAGGAGGAGGAGGAGGAGAGATCCCTCCCATGGACGGAGCAGGCACTTCAAGCTGTGGGTGGTATGGAGACTCAGAGCTGGCTGCTGACTCGGCAGGAGTTAGACTCCTGCCTCCTCCTCATTAGCGCTGTGATCCTGGGCACCTCATGCACCTTCTCCACGGCCGCCTGGCCACCTTCATCGGCTCCGAGGCCTAAGAAAGAAATGGATGTGATAGGGTCCAGTGTGTTTTGTTTTCTTCCCACACCACCCAACAATGAATTCTGACACTGTCTGCCTGGAGGTAGCTTCAGATCCCGCAGGTTAAAGGCTCAGTCCCACAAGACATCCCCACCAAGCCCACACACATTTCAGGCGCCAATAACAGTGATATTCTACAGCCAGCCTCACACGGGTCATATCCAGTTCTGTTGCACAAGTAGAACAGGTGGGCTTTGCCAGGTCATCTCACATCAGGGTTTATGGGAAGGGTTTTGCCCTTGGATGAGACTTGGGTGAGAAATTCACATCAAAAACCTCCTTTCTAGTACCCGTTAGAGTTTTTGAGTTAAATGTCTTGCCCTTTGAGCTCAGAAATGCACCTGTTTCCAGTGATGCTTTAATCGTCTGTTAAGAGGGCTGGAGCCAGTTGCTGGGGCCTTTGCTGACAGGCGGCCTGGATGTATTTAGCCAGGATGCAGGTGAACATCTGAGACAGGTCCTGCTGCTACAGGCCTCCGAACCAAACCCAGGGTTCGATTTACTAAATGCACGTAGGGCCTTAGTGCCGGGCGTTTGTTACGAGGTAGTTTTGTGGCATAAAGTACCAGCGATCAGAGTCTGGTCAGCTCCCACAGCTAAGAAGAAGGTTAGGTCACTTTGAACTGGTTGGATACAAGATAGGTTTTATCAGCTCTCATTTTAGGATGGTGACTGGGTTTCCAGTCGCGTCTGAATGCCACAGGGTCAAGGAGCTTTGAAAAGGGAGCTGTTTCTGATGCCTTTCCCAGCTTAGCAAGCCCAGGACTTTTTGCAGGCCTCCATCCTGGCAGGTCCTGCTCTGGGCAGGGCTCCAGGCGGCTGCTGGGCAGGAAGGATGGAGGCCAGGCTGCATGGATAAGGGAGCTCCTTCAGCAGCATGGCCAGAGGGAAAAGCAGCCTGCTGTCCAGTAGAGGCATCTAGCCATGATCTGTCTGAGTTAACGCCGGCTGCAGACGGCTGGCCGGTAAACTGTGAAATTGAGATTTTGCAGAGCTCAGAGAGCAGTTTTCAGAAGGGGCCGTGGATGTGTCACGATCCCCAAGGTCATTCAGACCCATTCGTTCCTGGGCAAGGAGAGGATGGGGGAGGACTTTAGCCCTAAGTATTTAATGGGCACGCTGGGCACCTTTGAAAAACACGCATGCTCTGAGATTCTGTTTCATGGATCTTGGGTGGGACCTGGGTATTTGTGAGTGTAATGCTCAGCCAGGGGAAAACCACACCTACGGAAACGGGTTGGACTTGGATCAAGGTTAGGGTTGGATAATAGAGGAATAGTGGGCTTATACTTGTTCTGTCCAAAATGTGATAAGGAGACTTGAGATAGGAAAGAAATGGGCCAAAGCTCCTTTAAGCGCGGAGCCTCTGGGCTGATCAGCTTAGAAGGCTGGTGGCAGGGAGAACTTCCTTGGCCTGGTAAGGGTGAGTTCATTTGAGAGTGAGAAGAGCAGGTTTAGTCAAAGCCATTTGCATGATACTTACTTTGGCAGGAAAATACATATGATGATACTTTCATCAAGTCTGTATCTGCTCTCCTTCCCGGGGCCAAGTCCAGGATTCTCAGCCTGGTGGAGGGCAGCAGCGAGACCTACTTCTAATGAGGCAAATGGATCATCAGAAACTGCCCAAGAGGCAAACGACCAATGAAAGGATAATGCAAGTGTCCATCCAGCCCACCCCCAGGAAAATAATCTTCTTAGTAAAAGTAAAGAAAAAAAAATGCTTCAAAATCAAAAAAAGAAAAGAGTAAACAGTATTCATATCCCTGTATCCAAAAATAACCCCTCGAAATCTTTCTGGACATAGCTCGACAGAAAATACTAATTTTGTATAAATGGGGCCTGATTGTTTTCCTCTGACATTGTGCTGTGGGTCTCTTGCCACATCAGTAACTCTAGGCCCACATCAGTTTGAAAGGCGGAATAGTATTTCATTATATGGATGAGCCTTTTTTTTAAAAACCGGCTTTGTTGGTGGGCATTTAGGTCATTTCCAATTCAAAGCCGTTCACAATGAGAGAAAGCCTCCTGCACATGTGCCTGTGAGATAGCATCGGCTGCGGTGATCTGCTGCGTTTGTGACACGGTTGCTTAGCCGGGGAGTGGAGAGGGGAGTGGAGATGACAGAAGCCCATGTTCTCCCACTGCACTGCTCACGGCTTATTGTATTATAACTCATCTGATATTTGCTTTTGTGTTTCCTTATCCCGCTCCTCCCACACAGCCCTAATGGGCTCTCTGGTGAGGGCTGGAGTACACACAGTGCTCATTTAGCCCTGTCCTTGCCCATTGTTAGAATGTGCCCGATTCAGGTTGCCTCTGGAAGTCTATTGACAGTGGGCAGAATGGCCTCTGGTTCTGAACAGCTAGTGAGAAACCCACTCTGGCAGTGTCCTTCCAGCTGATGCATCCAGTGCACGGGAAGTGATGGGGAAAGTTTGCCTCAATTAAAATAGGTTGGACATTTATTGATGTCTCAGGAATCTAATAAGGGCCGGCTGGGTGCCACACTCTTCGCAGAAATGGTGACCTGAACCGACGGCCCTGCCCACCGGGACTTAGTTCCCACCGAGGGGCTCACAGTGTTACATTCCAAAAATGCCCATTTCCATGGAGGCTAAGCGTTCAAGGCTCATCGGGACTGCAGCCTCAAGAACTTTGATGTTACAGAAAACTTTTCTGTGCGGGTAATGGTTTTGTAATTGCCTTGATGGGTAAGATTGAAGTGGTTGTTCTGGTAAAAACTAGAGGAAGTTGAATCGCCTTCATTGACCAGAGCAAACGTTTCTCAGGCAAGTCCCTGCCCATCTCCCCATCTTCACTGTGGCAAAAGAATAAAGGGGTCATGAATTACGGATTTATAATTTTAGAGTGGGAGGGGGCCCCGGGGGGGGGAGGGAGAAACATCGATGTGAGAGAGACACATGATTGGTTGCCTCCCACACGCATCTGGACCAGCTCAGGGGATTGAGCCTACAACTGAGGCATGTGCCCTCGACTAGGAATTGAACCCAGGACCCTTGGGTCCGCAGGCTGATGCTCTAACCACTGAGCCAAATCTGCTAGAGCTGGGTTTTATAATTTTAGAGTTTAGGGCGACAGCGACAAGACCAGAGTGTAATCAGGGCGTCTCAGCAGTGCAGTTTGTAGTCTTTTCCAGATTAATAGACTTGGAATAATTAGGGAAGATTGATTGTAACTTGAGGAACTCTGAAGGAAGAGGCCGTTGTCTCCACTGGTGAGAAGGGACTTCACAGACCAGTTAGTTAAAGGGTTTTTAAGTTTTTTCAGGCTCCTCTTTGCAAAGCTTCCAGAAACTATGGCCCCTTTCCCCAGAAAAAAAAGAGTTCACTACGTGCATAAGTAGATTGCTTTTTTATACCTTCCCCAGGAGTTTGCAGATCCCCAGCCCACGCGCGCGCGATCCGGTCCGGCCTCTGGTTTTTACGGGTAGAATTACTAAGGGTAGTGGAGGAGGGTAACTCGGTCTGTATACTCTTGCTGATGCACTGTTCCTAAAGAAACATTTTTTTTTCTTTCAGCACTGGCTGGATCATTCCAAACCCATTAAAAAGCAGATGAAAAGTAAGTAAGCCGCATTTGGCCTTCTCATCTATTTCTTTTATCGGGAAAGTAAACTCCTTTGCCAGTGTTTTGAGGCGTTCTGTTTTCGCCAGAACTCGGGAACTATTATTTAAAAAGATTCCATTTTGAGCGGATCATTTTTAATTTCTTAATTAAAAATTGAGAAGTTAGAATTTCTGGCCACGTGTTCGAGTTTAGGATTTGAAAAAGCGTCTTTAGTAGATACTAAAAAAAACACAGACTGTGCTCTCATTTAAAGTCACACGCCCCTGCCAGTGAGATCTGACTCACCTGCTGCTCAGAAGCAGGACCGGACATTGTCACAGTCCTTTCTGATGAGCGATAGAGTAGACTCAGAAAATGGGGCGCAGGAGGGCTCTGTGAGTCAGGCCCAGCTCCGGGGTTACCAGTGTGGTCCCTACCACCTTTATTCAGTGTTGTGAATGCACGGGTCATCTTTTTAAACTCCATGGTATTTAGATTACAGAACCCTTGGCTGTTGATGTGTCACTTTTCTGTAGCCCATTAGTATTTTGTAAAAAGTTAATATCCGTGTGGAGCATCATGGGAATCAGCAGGGAGAATGAAATGTCAGCTCTTAGTAATGCCTCTTAGATCAAGCATGTCAAACTCAAAGGCTATCACGGGCCAAATAAACGAGGCATGCGGCCTGTGGGCCGTGAGTTTAACATGCTTGCTCTAGAGCAGCGGTTCTCAACCTGTGGGTCACAATCCCTTTGGGGGTCGAACGACCCTTTCACAGGGGTCACCTAAGACCATCAGAAAACACATATATAATTACATATTGTTTTTTGTGATTAACCACTATGCTTTAATTATATTCAATTTGTAACAATGAAATACATCCTGCATATGAGATATTTATATTACGATTCATAACAGTAGCAAAATGACAGTTATGAAGTAGCAACGAAAATAATTTTATGGTTGGGGGTCACCACAACATGAGGAACTGTATTAAAGGGCCGCGGCATTAGGAAGGTTGAAAACCACTGACATAGAGGATCATGGTTTCCCTCCAGCAGGAGGTGCCCAGCCAAGCCACCATTGCTGATGTGATTCTTTTTAGTTTTCCAGCCGAGGGTGGAAAAGAACTTACTAGCATTGTGTGCCCTCCCAGGGTAGTGCTGAATGTGTTAATTTAATGTGTTTTTCCTTTTGTCCACTCCGCGATCTTCTTCAACCTTCCATCTCCAAATGTTTAGCTGGACCTGCTTATGCTTTGCACTTTCGAGTTAAATATTATTCTTCAGAACCAAACAACCTTCGTGAAGAGTTTACAAGGTAGGACAAGATACAGAACAGAATCCGCCCCCGTCGCACTTGCCTCACGTGTAGTGTATGGGTCTCCTAAACTGTGGGTTTTCCTCCCCCTCCCTCTGCTGCCTTTATATTCTGAGCAAGAGTTATGAGCACTTGGCCTGTATTCTGTTGAAAATCCACACTTTCCTTAATTTGACCTTTTTCTTCATAAGCCAGCATGCAAAGATTTGTTATCTTCTCACATTTCTGTGTGGTTGACCTTGGGCGATTTGGGTAGTTGTTCTATGGCACTTCATTTTTGTGCCCGGTAAGAAAAGGGTTGGCAGGGATTGGAAGAGCCTTTCTCAGTCCAAAATTGCCATCTTATTTTCTTTTAAGGGACTGCAAAATATTCCCTTGGTTGTTACAGTGCCAGCATTCTTAGAATCTCTTTGTGTTATCTTTCAGCCCCACTGGAATTCTTTTATGTCTGCCCGACTTCAGAAACAGTATTGAAGCAAAAGAGACCTAAAACATTTTAAGCGTGGGGTTTCCCTGCAGCTACCCTTTTATCAGTGAGATTCTCTGCCCAGTCCTGCCCGCTGTCCCCAGAACCTCCTTGTCATTGTCTGTGATGGACAGTGGTGGTGCTGGGTAGTCCGTGGTTGACCACTAGCTTGGAGATGACCACCTAAGCAACACTTTCAAGACTGCTTATCACCCTTCACCTTCCTCTCCCCATCGGAGAGGCCCACGGGCTCTTGGAGTTAGGTTTTCCTGTAGAAATTGGAAGATCGGGCCATGTCACACTGTCCTCCTTGATGGGAGTACTCAGTTCATCGGTGGTTAAGCACTTGTCGCGGGCAGGAACATTCTGGAATAGAACCTTCAGGCCCCCCGTTGATTTTTGGGGTCACCCGCATTGTCCTATGTCCATGCCACGGAGAGTGACTATCAGCATTGTTCTCAAAGTTCAAACAGATTAAATTATTCTAGTATTTTCCTCCCGAGTCCTTTATGAAACAGGCTGCTCCTAGCTGTCATCAAAGCCAGTGGTTCTGAACCAGGGTTGTGTGAATGAGAAACACGTGGGAAGCTTTTGAGCAAATCAGATTCCTGGGGACTCTGACTCCCTGGGTACAGAGTGGGGACCGCGGGCAGCCTTTTGGTTTTTACAAAGCGCTCTAGCGTGGTGCCGCTGCCCACGTGCATCTGGTCAGAAACTACTTGTTTAGCCAAGACACTTAGTCTTTTTACTTAAGTGAACCCTACTTGTGTTATCTGCTCTCCCATTTTTTATTACTCCTGTAACCAGCAGCTGCAGTTCAATTCCAGGATTTTCGAATTTTGTTGTGTGTGTGTGTGCGCGCGCGCGCGCGTGTGCACAGTTTTTTAAAAGACAGAGTCTGCAGTTAAACTGCATCAGGAAAAAAGTCTTACGCAGCTGCTAACGACAGTCAGCCGTACACTCTTCGATTCAGTCAGATGCAGCCTTTCTGGACTCCCTGGTGGGGCTGGCTGAGGGCCCCACACGGTGGCTCCACCTGCCCGTGTGATTGGACACGTCACGTGCCTGCTGTGTATGAGCGCCGCATACAGGGCTTGGCCCTCTCCCGGGACACGGGGCGGATGTGGAGGCCGTCATTGGACCCCGCCGTGTCCCATGGTCCATCCTCCAAGTATCTTGCAAGTTCCTACATGCACTCACCTTCCTGCAGACGCGGGAGGAGATGCTTCCACCACGTTGGAGTTGGACCCCCTCCTTGCAGTGCAGAATTTGGGGTCGCATGCGGGGCGGGTTCATGCTGGGCAGTCGGGATCCAGTCGGGAAAGAGTGATCGATCCTCTGTTGACTTTTGTATATGTTTGTCAGGTACCTGTTTGTTTTACAACTCAGGCATGACATTCTTTCAGGAAAGTAAGTACATTTTTGTTCTAACTCTTAAACCCAGGATAGATCACATAGTAGTATATTTCTAAATGATTCACTGTTTTTTTGTTTTTGTTTTTGTTTTAACTCTCTTACCCTTGTTCCCTTTTCAAAATTCAAAAAAAAAGTACACCAGGCATTGTAAAGTGAGTCTAATACTTGTATCACTGTCATCATCTTATTTTAAATGGTTACTCTATGGCTTGAAGCATTTCCAAGAGCATTTAATATCTTAAGTGATGTGTATTGGGGAATTATTCTCTCCCTGATCACATCACTGCCCCATTCATAATGGCTTTTGTTGTATTTGCAAGCAAGATACGTTATTAGTATGTATACACTTACAAGTATTTGGACAGTCAAAAAGTTTCATTCATCACCATCGGCATCAAATAACGTAAAGAGGTAATGTCCTGATTCTGATAGAAAGAGGTTTAGACATCTCATCTCATTTCCTTTGCCCCCCTTAAAAGTGGTTTTTAAACACGAGGCCTCTGGCTGCACAGTGATTGTTGAGGATAAGGAGCATGGGCACTGACCTGGTTGATTTTACACGCAGTGTTAATCTGTTTTAAAGATACAAGATTTACAGTCCTAGCTCTGACAGTGGTGTCATTTTTCAGCCTACGTATTGACTATTTTCTTGTATGTGAAAAACTTTTAAGACTCTACTGAATCTAAAACGCAACACCTGATATCGACAAGAATACATTTTGATTTTGAATATAATTCGGAGGGAATTGAAAATGCGCTTTCTGAATTTGCAAACCCTCCATAGAATACCTGCTATAAAATCCTTAGTAGAACGTACGCGACAGAACACGTAGATTGTACAGTGTATACATTTGCCTTCCTCAGCCATGCAATACAGATCTTTGATTGATGTGTGTATTATGAGTGTGTGTGTATTTTGACCTCCCTCCCCCTTTCTCCATACCGTGCTCCTCATCCTGAAGGCCTCTCGACTCTAGTAAATGTCCTCAGTTTGGAAAAATACCAATGGCAAACATCCTGCATTTGTATAGTACTTTGCAGTTTCCATGCACTTCAGCCTGATGTACTGACTGTACTTCAAAGCAGGTGGACGTTCTGGTCCCAGCACTGCCCCCTACTGGCTGGATGACCTTGGGCAAGGCAATCCTGCACTCTGCACCTCATCTCCAAATGGGGGATGGAGAACACTGGCGACACACGTCTTAGGGGTTTACAAACTCCGCACATTGACCAATGGGGTAATATAGATGAAAGGCTTTGAAAACTATGAAGTGCTATACCAATGTATGTCATTATTATTTTTCTAACTAAATTGTCATGTGAAATACGAATGAGATCCCGATTTGCAGTAATTCCTGTCTATGGCTCAATCTCAGTTATACTTATGAGAATGCTTGAGTGTATCCAGCTGTCCTGGCACTGTCAGATACTGTGTCTGTCTGCTTACTTTTAATATTATGACCTCGTTTCCAGAAGGATTTAAGGCAGCTTGGAAAGGTGCATGTACTATATCAAGATAAAATAAGTTTAAAAATAATAAGGCAAAGGGAAGGCTTCTCATTCTATTTCCCAAATTTCCCCATTTATTTATTTATTTTGCAAAATTGGCTAAAATTGCCCACATGGTTGATAGAACCTAGACCTAGATTGGATTCTTTCACCGTATGATGAGAACTGACTTTGGGAAGTATGTAATGCAAGTCAGCTTGGTTGCATTATTTAATGTGGACAGCAGAACTAGAAACCAGAAAACAAGAATTATGACCTAAAGATCACTACCTTCTGACCAGTGACTTGAATGACATTTTGTATAGTTATGAGTATTAAAGTCCATGTACAGAATTAATTTCTTTTCTTTCTTTCTTTCTTTTTTTCAAGATTGAAATGCCCATATGAGACGGCTGTGGAATTAGCTGCTCTCTGTCTACAAGGTACATTGTTCTTTAGTGGTCCTTAGTATTCTAATGCCATTACTTCCATTCAACAAATGAGTGTCTACTGTGTACCAGGCACAGTGCGGTGCTTTGGGGGTATCAGTGAATACGATATGGTCTCCGTCCTCAAGTAGCTTGCAGTCCCATGAGGACCACATGGCAGGACCACATACTCTGTATGTACAGAGTACAGTGTCGTCCCTTTAGGAGTAGGGACCTGCAGAAGGCCTGCAAGAGGAGGGCTGGGGGCGGGGGGGCGGCGGTTACTAAGTGAATATTATCAAAGTAGAAAGGCATGTGCAGAGAGGTGCTAGCTGTTAAGAGGTGTCAGAGGGTGAGGGTCAAGAAGCTGGGTAGGTGGGCGCCTTTGGGCCCCTTTAAAGAGCATGGATTTCATGCTGTCAACAGTAGGGCCTTTGGAGGCTGGGGTTGGGGGTGTAGTGAGGAGGTGTTGCTGTGATAAAAAGAAACTGATTAGGGCTGGGGGTTCAACACACACACACACACACACACACACACACACACACACACACACACCAAAACAAACAACAGCATTGTCCATACTAGGAGAAGGACATGGACATTAGACTTAGGTGTGGAGAGAGAGGTCAGGGATGACTCAGGGTCGAGTCGAAGAAGAGTTGGGCTCTGGTGGAGAAGACATGAGTGTAGGGCGTCTTGGCTGAGAGATGCCATTGGGACCTCCACTAGCTTCGTGAGTATGCAAATCTGACTTGGTGAGAAACATCGACAGAGCGGGGGGGGGGGTCATGGGCATGTGGGTGGGAATTGGATGGTAAAGGTTTGCCTGCATTGACTATTCCATCCATGTGATGCATTCAAATGCACAAGAAACCCTCACTTGCCACCGTCCCCGGCACTAATTAAGAGGATACTGGTGTGTAAATTGCACATAAGGAAATTCATCAGTGCATCAGGTAGACATATGCTGTGGACTCGTTTACCAGTGTGCTCATTGGCTTCCACGGAATAATGAATTATTCATTCATAATTACTAATTATTTTTGAACATCGTAATAAGATCTGCCTTCTCACTTTTGTATTTACCAATTTCTTAAAAGTTGATCTCAAATGCTAAAGTCGGTACACACTTAGTATAGAAAGTCGGGACAACAGCATAATAGACAAGTGGAAGGAAGGCCGGAACCCTGCGTCCTGCCAGCCACAGACAAACAGAGACTCTGTCTACGTGGTTAGAGTGGAGTGTTTAAAATGTAATTCTGTGAGAGTCCTAGACACATTTTTTTGTATGATTTTCTACTTGGCATTTTTTAGTACATGCATTTTGTCATGTTTACACTCATCAAGATGGTTTTTAATGACTTCAGGTTATTCCCATTCTCTGATACTCTCATTCTTTTTTTTTTTTTTAATATATTTTATTGATTTTTTACAGAGAGGAAGGGAGAGAGATAGAGAGTTAGAAACATCGATGAGAGAGAAACATCGATCAGCTGCCTCCTGCACACCTCCCACTGGGGATGTGCCCGCAACCCAGGTACACGCCCTTGACCGGAATCGAACCCGGGACCCTTCAGTCCACAGGCCAACGCTCTATCCACTGAGCCAAACCGGTTTTGGCAATACTCTCATTCTTTAGTCAACGTTCTTATCCTCTACTGGGGGCTTGGCATATAGTAGGCGCTCATTAAGTGCAGAATGGATTGAATGAAGTTGAAGAGGCCCCCAAGGACTTTGATTGAAGGGGGAGCCTGCCCCTGAGGTATGAAGGCATTGGTGGTAGAGGGGACCATATTGTCATCTGCAACTGTCTTTGCCAAGTACAGTGCCAAATGCTTCACATCCATATGCAAACCCACACAGACATTCTAATGATCTTCACAGTCTGGGCAAGCTGGCTCAGCTGTGGTCAACCTGAAAAGCAGGCTACCGCATTCACTGATGGGATGGGCAGAAGGGGGCATGGAGAGACATAGATTCCTAATACCGCAGTCCTATGTAAGTGCCATAAGGATATGTAATGGCTTGGGGAACTTGGAAGTGGACTGTCCATTGACCAGGTGTAGATTTCCCCATCTTGTCAAGTAGCCTCCATCCACCCTGGAGTTTCTGAGTTGCCAGGAGGTCACACCATCAGGCTTGGTGGCCCAGCAGCAGATGTCAGGATGTGGTTAATGGGATGAAAGCAGCCACGTCAAACCTGGGGTCCCCAGTCCACTGGAGAGGTTTCTTCCTAAGGCCAGAGGTGCAATATGTAAACCTATCTGTTGAGTGATTAGAGGATGAGGCACACATCAATGCCCACTCCCCTTTGTCCCCCCCTGCCCCCCCCACCCCCCCGTGATGAGGGCATCACCACCTTCACCAAGTCCAGCTCTAGTAGAACTACATACCTTGCCCCGGAACCCATGCAGACCAGAACATCAGCTCTCCGTGAGCCCTTCCTGAAGAAACTACCCATCTGAGTTGGAGCCACATTAGTGTAATTTAGATGCAGTCATTATGTGAGGTACAAATGAAAAGACTGGAGACTTAGACATGCAGATGTCTATGGGAAGTTCTTGTTCCGTTGTTCCTCCATGCCCCCTCTGCCCATCCCAACAGTGAATGCGGTAGCCTGCTTTCCAGTTCAACCACAGCTGAGCCACCTTGCCCTAGACCCGTGGTCGGCAAACCGCGGCTCGTGAGCCACATGCGGCTCTTTGGCCCCTTGAGTGTGGCTCTTCCACGAAATACCACGTGGGGGCACGCACGTACAGTGCGATTGAAACTTCGTGGCCCATGCACAGAAGTCGGTATTTTGTGGAAGAGCCACACTCAAGGGGCCAAAGAGCCGCATGTGGCTTGCGAGCCGCGGTTTGCCGAGCCACAGTTTGCCAACCACTGCGATTGTAAAGATCACTAGAGCATCTGTGTGGGTTTGCATAGCATGAAAGGTTGTGTTTCCTCCCGTGCTTGAGCCTTGCAGACATGTCTTGCTGTAGCGGCCCTTGAGTTAATGGCGCTTCCAGCGTTAGGAAGCAGTGGCCTTGCGTAGAGGCTGTGCTCTTTGGGGAACTAAATTTCCGGTAGATTAGAAATTCAATTCAGGCAAAAAGAAGAACAAGGGAGGAAGGAAGGAATGATCATTTGTTGTGTGCCTGTGATCTTGTTCCGTCCTTGTAGCAGGTATTGTTTCACACATAAAGAGCAGAGACCCAGGCGAAGTGGCTTGCCCAGGCCACACACGTAGTGTACGGCAGAGGTGGGCTCCCCCTCCTTGTCTGAGCTCTTTCCGCCCCCTCCACAGCGGGGCCCTGGCTGCAGAGTTCGCACACTGAGGGAAGTGTCAGGTTGTTTTTTGTTTTTGTTTTTTTAAAATATATTTTTATTGATTTCAGAGAGGAGGGGAGAGGGAGAGAGAGATAGAAACATCAATGATGAGAGAGAATCATTGATCAGCTGCCTTCTGCACGCCCCCTACTGGGGATCAAGCCCGCAACCCAGGCATGTGCCCTTGACCGCAATCAAACCCGCGACCCTTCCGTCCCCAGGCCGATGCTCTAGCCCAACCGTGGGCAAACTATGGCCCGCGGGCCGGATCCGGCCCGTTTGAAATGAATAAAACTAAAAAAAAAAAAAAGACCGTACCCTTTTATGTAATGATGTTTACTTTGAATTTATATTAGTTCACACAAACACTCCATCCATGCTTTTGTTCCGGCCCTCCGGTCCAGTTTAAGAACCCATTGTAGCCCTCGAGTCAAAAAGTTTGCCCACCCCTGCTCTAGCCACTGAGCCAAGCCGGCTAGGGCAAGTGTCAGGTTTTGCCAGCAGATTCTTGGAAAGCAGACATGCTATCTCACAAATGATCTCCCTCCGGCCCGTTTTAGCCCAGTCATGGGGAGGAGGGACGCCAGCCCCCTTGTGAACCCCAGGGAACCCTTGTCATTGTCTGGCTTCTCTCTCCTGTGCTTGATGGTGCCAGGGGCCTTGTCCACACACAACCACTAAGCGCAGGGCTCCACTGCCTCCCTTCCGCCCGTGGTGCAAAGGAAGAGTGGTTCCTATCAAGGAGATCTCTTCCCAGACTGCCCCCCTGGGCTTGGCAGGGGTACGTGGTGAGAGCAAGGACACTCAGTGGGGATCGCCCACGTGGCTGCCCCTCCTCTCTGCATGACTAGCTCCCTCCCTGGTTCTGCCTGAGCTGCAGCAGTTGCTCCTGCAGCCCTTACATCCCCTCCTCCTTCCCCGTCCCTCCCTCCTTCGCTCTCTCTCCCAACATATTTTCCCCCTGGATTCTGCATGTACTGAATTCTTGATTGGTCCTCTCAGCACTGCAGACCCTGGAGTGCTGCTCAGACCCACCTACTTCACGAGAGCTTTGTTAAATGAGTTTCTGGGCAGGTCCTCATTCCCTGCAGTTGCCTCTTTATTGCACATTCAGGCTCTACCACTTCGCGGGGGAAATATACTCAGGGCCTCCCCGGGCAGGAGCAATAATCGGGAGAAAGATAGTCATCGCTAAGATGATGGTGTTGTGCCCCAGGGGAGGATTCTGAATGTACATGTGGGTACCGAGCGGGAGCCGGTCCTCCTGGAAGGAGAGCATTACACATTTGGGGTACCTGTGCTTTGTTACCGTGCAAAATGCCTTTGGACCTGGTTGCAGCAGCAACGAAAAGCACTCAATGTCTCCTGTTTTTCTCCTTCTTGTGACACTTGCAGCGGAGCTTGGGGAATGTGAGCTTCCAGAACACACCCCAGAGCTTGTGTCTGAGTTTCGGTTCATTCCAAATCAGACAGAAGCGATGGAATTCGATATCTTCCAGAGATGGAAAGAGTGCAGGTACCTTGACACACTTATTTTGTGATATGTAAGCATTTGCACGATCCTTTCATCGACTGTAAAACTGCAGCCCCAACTCTCCACCTCTCTGCCGCGCTTCAGTCCTGTTTTTCCTAAGGCCCACACGACGTCTCTCTCTTTCTAGAGATGTACAGTAAGAACCGAAGCATATCCTGTTTCCCTGAATTATAGAGCCCAAGCCTGATTTGCTCGTTGCTGCCAGGAATGCCCCTTCTCTCCTGGCCTGAAGAAAGTGAAGGGGGAGGGAGGTGGGCGGGAGGAGGCTGCTTTGAAACATTCCCATACCTGGGTCTCTGTCCATGGTCTGAGCGGCCAGAGTTAACTCTTCAGATGTAGCCCATGCTGTCCTACAGGGACACTCATAGCTGAGACCATGTGATTTCAGGGCATGTGGTCACTGCAGCTAAAACCAGCCCTACCATTTGTCTTTGGGCTTTTTCCTCCCTTCCCCCATAGACACCCCCGTCTGCCGCTTTTATGCCTGGGCTGCCAGTAGTGCCTCCGCTCACATTTCCCAGACATTAGCCTCTCTTCCTTCCTGGCCCATCTTCCCCAAACTCTGCCCGTTCCAGGTCACTCTAGGACTCAGAAACTCCTTCTGTCCCTCAGTCATTCTGAAGGGCATCTGACTTTTTTGAAAATGGAGAGTGACAGTGTGTTCTGTTTTTAAATGTTTTTATAAATATACTTTTATTGATTTCAGAGAAGAAGGGAGAGGGAGAGCGATAGAAACATCATTGATGAGAGAGAATCATTGATTGGCTGTCTCCTGCACACACACCTCCCCCACCACCATCACCACTGGAGATCAAGCCCTCAACCCAGGCATGTGCCCTGATGGGGAATTGAACCATGAACTCCTGGCTCATAGGTCAATGCTCAACCTCTGAGCCACACTGGCTGGGCTGTTAGTGCATTCTTGTATCACATAGAAATGTGTGGTTGCAGAGTCATCTGCACCCCTGCACCCCCTGTCTCCCCCCTGCAGGCAGCTGTTGTGTTCTCCACCTTTCCTTTGCATATACATACCCGTATCTACACACCAACAAATGCTTTCCTTAAGTATTCACATTATAAACACTGCTCTGTCATCTTCCTGTCCAGTCAGCGGTCTGTCTGGAGGTGCGTTAGTATAAATGGGTGTCCCCCGTTCCTTTCATTGCTGCATAAAATCCCTCAGTGCATGGCTGTGCCCTTCAGAACCTCGTGGGTGTACGAGTTGCAGTTTACATGTCTTTCCATTGGTTTCTCTAAGGGGAAAGAGCCCTGCCCAGGCGGAGCTGTCCTATCTGAATAAAGCGAAGTGGCTGGAAATGTATGGGGTAGACATGCACGTTGTCAGGGTAAGAACTGGGTGCGTTCAAGTCCTTGGGTCTCGCTGTGCCTGAGCAGTGGGTAAACGATGGGCAAACAAAGTAATGTGGTGAGCGAACTGTTTTTGCATTCTGCTCTGTGACCACCTGTTAGAACCTTGTACCGATTGTCACTTCATTTATTTGTAGGGAAGAGATGGCTGTGAATATTCTCTTGGACTGACCCCGACAGGCATATTAATCTTTGAAGGAGCTAACAAAATAGGCTTATTCTTTTGGTAATTTAGTTTTGTCTAATATTAAAAATGTCTTTTCCTATTTTGTGGTGGAATTATATGTGATGGATGATTATTGAGGGCTATTTGCAATCCCCCCCCCCCCCCGCTTCATTTTAAAGGCACACCATTCTCTGATATTTGTGGGTGTATGGCATTGGCAATGAAACCTCTGGATAATCACGCTTAAATGAACGAATGATTCCTTAGCAAATCCAAGCTTTAAAAGTAGAGAGGAAACTGCGGTTTGACGTGTCGTTTTCCCTGCAGATTGTGCTTTTACAATGTTTTCTCTCTGGCCAGGCCTAAAATTACCAAAATGGACTTTAAAAAGAGCAAATTGACACTAGTGGTGGTGGAGGACGATGATCAGGTAAGCCTTGCTCCCGTCCTGCATCCCGCCCCCCCCCTCCCCCCGCCCCGCCGTGGATCATCCTTCATCCGCGTTCCTAACGACCACCGACTCGAGAACCCTGTGCTTCCCCTCGAAGGGCCGGGAGCAGGAGCACACGTTTGTGTTCCGCCTGGACAGCGCCAAGACCTGCAAGCACCTCTGGAAATGCGCAGTCGAGCATCATGCGTTCTTCCGACTGCGCACGCCAGGAAACAGCAAGTCGAACAGATCAGACTTCATCAGGCTGGGGTCCCGCTTCAGATTCAGGTAGGCACCGTCTCACAACACCACACGGTGGTGATGTGTTCTGTGGGTGGAGCCACCGGTCTGCCCCCAGAGGCTCGTGTTGGGCATCCTCCTGTCCCTGCTTCTCTAAGATCTGCCCTGGGGCTCTTCAGCCGCTGTTCTCCTTGATGGATTTGGGGGTAATAATAACAGAGATGTTAGTAGCTGACATGTGGCTTGAACTAGCCTGTCTGTTTCAGGAAACACTAGCCACATGTGGCTGTTTAGAGTCATTGATATTAAAGGGATTTTAACATGTAGTGGTTCAGTCTCACCAAGCAAGTTCGGGTGCTCAGAGCCCACAAGGCAGGTGGCTGCCGCGGTAGGCAGTGCAGCCGCAGGGCGTAGGCATCCCTGCGGAAAGCTCTGTGCACCGCGCTGCACCGGGCTCTGCATGTACCAGCTCGCAGTCCTCCCAACAGCCTTCGGAGGATAGGTCCTCTCATTATCCCCATTTTACAGATAAGGAAGCTAAAGGCCAGGGGTTACATAATCGGCCCAAAGGCACAGACTGTGAGTGCAGAGCCAAGATTCAACCCCACACTTTAAGTCGGGGTCTTACACTTGAACCACTACTCTATTGCGTTGCACATGCCCATGGCAGGAAATCCGGGGACACTGAAGAATGAGAGCAGGTGTCAACGTGTGTGAGAGTGGCTCCAGGCAGCCTCGGTAAATATTTGAATCTGAAAAGACCCTGAAAAAAAAAACCCACAGAATTTATTTTGATGAATTTTTACTTAGGATTCTGAGATGGTGTCTCTCAAAATGCATGAAACCTCGCTGGGTGTTGGTTAAAAAGGAGGATTTATGACCTCACCTAAGACCTTCGTAACCAGAAGCTGTGGGCGTCCACATGTACATGTATGAATAAAGCTGGGCAGGTACATTTTAAACGCGTTCCCAAGGTTGATTTCTGAGGCACATTTACTGATCTGAGAATAGCTCTTACAAGACCTGAGGCTTCACATGTTTCATAACCTCTGCCCACACATGGCATGTCCTTGAACTCTGTTTAAAGTGCCAACAGATCTGCTCATTTCAGATTTATCTACTGTGCAAGAGATTGGCTGTGCACTTGTGTTTAAAGAGTTACTGTGTTTGAATGTATTTTTTTAAAAAAAAAATTTATTGATTTTAGAGAGAGAGAACGGGAGAGGGAGAGAGAGAGAGAAACACACTTAGATATATGAGGAATCATCAATCAGTTGCCTCCCATACACACCCCAACCGGGGTCTGAACCCACAACCTGGGCCTGTGTCCTGACTGGGAATTGAACCAGTGACCTTTAGGTGCCCAGGACGACACTCAGCAAACCGAACCACACCAGCCAGCGCTGTTTGAATGTATTTTCAAATGCTGCAAGGCAGGGGGCAAAAACAAGGTCCTTTCTGAGAATAGACTCATGGGGTTCTGGGGAGGATGGAGAATGTCAGCCTGCAAAGGTTAGCGGAGACATCGCCGGGGATGCTGACGTCTGCTCGAGTCGGAGTGAGGAGGAATGGCCTGCGGGGGTGGTGGCCAAGGCAGGATTTCCCATCCTGGGAGGCAGCTCCCCCAGGAGTTGGCCCAGACCAGGCTCAGGCTCCCTTCTGCTCTTTGAAGAGAAGCTTAGAAGGAAAGGGGAGTTTGGAGATGAGGTTGGTCCTGGGAGGCCCTTAGAGCAGGTGGCCAGTGGCTCCTTCCATGTGATAAATCCTAAACCGAGAGTGGCTGGAACGAGGCCATGACAGCTCAGACACAAACAGCATGCCCCCTGGACACTGGGCAGCTCCTTGGTTGAGACCCAGAAAGCCTTGGTGAGAGACCAGTGTTTCTCTAGGCATGGCAAGCAAAGCCAAGGTTTAGGTAAGTGGTCATTGATAACAGCCTTTTAAACGATTTAAATGTCTGCGTAATTTGTTTCATGAGAGGTTATTATATGTGCCAGCCAGTATTCTCTTAGTGAAACATTCCAGGTACTGGAACCTGCTTGGTTTGTGCAGCCAAGTAGCCGGTACCTAAATTGCACGTTTTGTCCTTTGATGGAAGTGCCTGCCTCTATCCTACAGCCTGGATTTGGCAAAGCTGATTTTGTTTCCAAAAGGAAGGCAAAACTTAGTGTGTTCTTTGACACACAAGTCACGATAAGTTGGAATTGACACTGGAACTCTGGGAAATAAGGTTCACTTTCAGATATGTGTAAGGTACTGATACTCTGATATGGGTGACGTGCAATAAAATATTTACCTTCCAGTGGGCGGACGGAATATCAGGCGACTCACGGGGCCCGGTTACGAAGAACCAGCACCTTTGAGAGGAAGCCTAGTAAACGCTACCCATCCCGGAGACATTCGACATTCAAAGGTTGTGTGCTCTCCACTCTGCCTTGGGATTTGACGTTATGCTTTATCTGGTTAATCCCCGAGGAGCTTGGGGAGGCAGATTTTTAAAAAATCCTCTCTAATTTCTCCTCAGAGAACCATTTTAAAAAATATGTTTTAAGCCCGAGTCTATTTGGCTCAGTGGACAGAGCCTCGGCCTGCAGACCGAAGGGTCCCAGGTTCGATTCCAGTCAAGGGCACTTGCCTGGCTTGCGGGCTCAGTCCAATGTGCAGGAGGCAGCCCATCAGTGATTCCTTCTCATCATTGATATTTCTATCTCTCTCTCTTCCTTTCTCTTCCTCTCTGAAATCAATAAAAATATATTTTAAACAAATGTTTTTGATTTTTAGAGAGCGAGAGATAGAAACACGAATAAGAGAGGGGAAACATCCATCAGCTGCCTTCTGCACACCCCTACTGGGGATCGAGCCTGAAACCCAGGCCCGTGCCCTGACTGGGAATCACACCGGGGACCACTTGGTGCATGCATTGATGCTCAACCACTGAGCCACACCGGCTGGCCAGTGAAGCAGATTTTGAAGGCACTTCCTATTGTTCTGCTTTGTCATGCTAAAGCTTTTTTTTTTTTTAATTATAGTGACATATAATATTGTATTAGTATTTTAGCTGTTGTCACCTTACACCTCTCTGTCTGGGTCTTGGTGTGGCTGCCCCAGAGGGGAGGGCCCATCCTAATGCTTGGCCCCTGCGATGGCCGAGAGCTCCCTCACGCTCCAGGTTCTGTGTTTCTCCTCCACCTCTGTCCTGGTCTCCATCCTCTTTGTCCTCCTTTATTTTACTGACAGCTTCTCCAGCCAGAGTTCTGGCATCTTTGGGAAGCTTTGAATGGTTCTCCACGCTGCATTTTTTTGAAACAAAGTAGAGTCTAGATAAGCCTGTGCCTCTTGGCGTGGCCCCTTCTACAGACACACAGCCTGCGCCTGTCATAGTGGCTGCCCTGCGCCCCGTAGGTTCATGCTTGTATTTTAGCCATGAACACCTTACACCTCTCTGTCTGGGTCAAGGCTGGGAGCTCTTTGAGAGCCAGGGCTGTGTCCAGTCCCTCTGCAGCCCAGAGCCCCTGGCCCTGGGCACGCACGCAGAGGGCAGGGCTCCGGGGAAAGAACACGTACTTTTCCTCTCGAAAGGAGAAGCAGCTGCGTGGAGACTCTGCCTCCTGACACTGAGGCTGCTCTTAGATCACAGGCGTCGCCCCTCCCCCCCCCCCCCCCCCCCCCCCCCGCACCTTGTCATCGCGCGGTAAAAGTGAGAAAGCTCTCTAAAATGTCGTGCTCTCTGTTTTTGTTTTAAAGCAAGCAACCCGGTGATAGCTGCTCAGCTCTGGTAAGTGCCCCCAGGCCCTGGGGTGCAGCTGTTTTCTCTCGTATATTTACTTTCAATATTGACTTTTTCCTTGATACAATTAAATCGCCGAGTGCGTCTGCTGATTTTTTTTTTCCTTTTCTGCTGCCTGGCTGTACCATCCCCCTGGCTCTCCATGAGTACACAGGAGAAGGTTTCAAGACAGTTGTTGTTTTAGAAAACACAGCTGCCTTGTTTGAGTAGCTCTGTGCTTTGTTTGCCCGAACAGTGGGTGACAAAGGTGAAAGGAATGCGCCCAGCACAGGGTGCTCATGGCATTGCAGGCAGCGGTGGGAAGGGAAGGCCGTGCTCATGAGCAAAAACTGCAAGAGCAGATGCAGGATTCGCTCTGTGATGGGCAGGTTTCATCGTCATACAGGGTAGAAGACCTTTATTAAGCACTTTATTGAAATTCCTGTAGGAAAAAGAACTTGTCAGAAGACTGAAACTCTAGCACAGGAGCCAACCAACTTTTTCTGTAGCCAGATAGGAAATACTTTAAATATATTTTTATTGATTTCAAAGAGGAAGGGAGAGGGAGAGGGAGAGAGAGAGAGAGAGAAACGTCAGTGATGAGAGAGAATCATTGATTGGCTGCCTCCTGCACGCCACCTACTGAGAATCGAGCCCGCCACCTGGGCATGTGCCCTTGACCAGAATTGAACCTGGGACCTTTCAGTCTGAAGGCCGGCATTCTATCTACTGAGCTAAACTGACTAGGGCCAGATAGGAAATACTTTAGACTTTGCAGGCTGGGCTGTCGCTTTTACAAGGTACTCTGTCGCTGGAGCACCAGAGCCACCAGAGCCATATGTAAATGAAGGAACAGGTCTGTGAGCCAATCAAACGTGACCACAATCACAGGTAGGCCAGGTTTACAGCCGCTTCCCCATCACAGGTATTCTGGATCTTTCTTGTTCATTGGAATCACCTGGTCAGCTTTGAGGAGTCCCTGTCAGCCAGGCCACACCTCAGGCTAAGGGACAATCTGAGGGTGGGGCCCAGGCACCTGTGGTTTTGAAAGCCCCCAGGTGATTCTAGTGAGCAGCCAGGTAAGCACCCTCATCCTATCTTGAATGTGCCTCCTTTTCTCCCCCTGAAACAACTGTGTTCTTAAGGGAGTTTTGACTTATTGGTGGACAGGCTGGTAGAGAATCACAGAATGTAGTTGTTTCAACTCTTGCATACAAGCTCCAAGGACCGACCAGTAGCCCAGTTTAGTTAGCCCAGTGGTTCTCAACCTTCTGGCCCTTTAAATACAGTTCCTCATGTTGTGACCCAACCATAAAATTATTTTCGTTGCTACTTCATAACTGTAATGTTGCTACTGTTATGAATCGTAACGTAAATATCTGATATGCAGGATGGTCTTAGGCGACCCCTGTGAAAGGGTCGTTCGACCGCCAAAGGGGTCGCGGCCCACAGGTTGAGAAGCCCTGATAGCCTTTCAGCCGTCGGAGGTACAGGCCTCAGGCTGCCAGGGAGCATGGTCTTTGAGATCATAATTGGGCTGTGCCATGCACTCTGGACAGTTGGCAGCACACGAGGTGGAGCCAGTAGCCAAAACCCTTGTTGGTGGGGAGATCCCTGCCCGGGGATCAGGAGACTGGCCCCAGCGTGGCTCTCACCCAGCTCTGGGGTCTTGGCCTCCCCCTTTCTGGGCCTCCTCTTTCTCACTTGAAAACAAGGAGGCTGGACTGGATCAATGTTCTTTTCAAGTTTTTTTTAGGCCCCCAGAAGAAACCTGCCATAGAGAACAGAGGGGTATGGAGGACATAGAGAACTGGGGACAAAGCAGAGTGGGGAGGGAGGGGGCCAGCGCCTGCTGCTCATCCGCCCCTCCCCCCAGTACCCCAAGGCTCTACATCCCCACGGTTCTGGAGAGCACAGCTGGCCCCTTGTATATCACACAGCTGGAAACTCAGCCTCGAGTCTTTGATTTCAAACTACCTGCAGGGCATTCTGCTGGGGCCAAGGGTCCAGCGCTGTGTCTAGGTTCACTTCTCAGCACTTGAGGAAGGGGGGTCCAGGGTCCTGCTCCCCACCCTCTCCCCGGGCGGGAGGAGGTGGCACGGTTCTGCATGGGTTAGCTCAGCCTCCAGGCTTTGCCCTGTTTCTAGCATCCCTGCGGCAGGTAGTATATGCTAACAGTATTGGCTCCCTTCCCTGCCCTTCAGCATGTCTCGCTTTTAATTCTCAGGGGTTTGTGCGTTACAGTGTTTCTTTCCTTTGCTGTTTAGGGAAGTGATTGTTTTGTGTGTTGGCTTTTCCCTAATAAAATTACATTTGCCACTTAGCACCTAGTGATTACATATATTGGGAACCAAAACAAACTAAAAAACAAAACAAAAAAACTCCCAAAAAATAAATAAAAGAAACCCCAAGTAAAGATACCCTTTAGGAACAAATGAGCTAATAACCACTGTTCGCAGCTGCTTGATTGTTCTCGGCAGCCTGTGGAGCCAGGGTGAGGATTGCTGTGGGAGCCAGGGATGAAATTGCGCTCTGGGCTGCAGAGGTGATATGGGCAAATAGCACCTTGCAGAACACTTAACCTTCCTGCTGCAATCCGGCCGGAGGTGAACCTGGCCCGGAGCCTGGCTCCGCGCCCTGGCCCCCTCGGAGAACTGGAACACAGCGCCATTTAGACCCCAGCAAGGCTCGTAACAATGACACGCTTCCCTCTCATTGTTGGAGAAGCAATAAGCCTTGATTTCAAGCACAGCGCCCTGGCAGCACAGCGCCCTGGCAGCACAGCCCGGTGGTCGTGCTGCATGAGGGATGCCAAGCCTGCATACTAAATAACACGTTATGTTTTACACCGACCGTCCACCCTTTTTTTAGAGTAGTTACACCTAAGAGTCCCATCAAAATAGGATTATGCACAAGGACCCCGAACCTTCTTGGCTTAGTGCAGTGGTCGGCAAACTGCGGCCCCTTGAGTGTGGCTCTTCCACAAAATACCACGTGCGGGCGCGCACGTTCAGTGCGATTGAAACTTCGTGGCCACACTCAAGTGGCCAAAGAGCCGCATGTGGCTCACGAGCCACAGTTTGCCAACCACTGGCTTAGTGGAAGCAATATAGACTTTAGGATCGAGCAGATGTCCATTCCAGTCCTGGCTCTGCCAGTGAGTGATTCGCTGGCTGACCTCGGGGTTTCCTAACCTCTCTGTTAGGCAATCATTCCTTTATCTATAAAATGAGGTGGCGGCATTCATTGACCTCCTCGCCTTGCTGCGTGGATTAAATAACAACAGATGTGAAGTTCCCAGGACAGAGCCTTACATGGAATGAACGTTCCAAGGTGGTGGCCAGCTCACGGCTTCGTTGTTGTTGGCCGTGGGGCCCAGAGAGGCAGGTGCTCGGAAGGTGATGGTGGCTTTCCCTTCAGCTTGAACGTCAGGGGCTGCCGGAGCCCCGCCCCACCCAGCAGTGCCGGGGCAGGGCTGGAGTGGGAGCCTAAATGACTGGGTTTGCCTCATTGGAATGACCTTCATTTTGCCACCAAAACTTGACATCACAACCAGGATTCTGGAGTAGTAGCCATTTGCTTCTACTTGTGAGCTCTATTGTGACGAATGAAAGTTGCTGTTTGGTTTTTCCAGTTATGAGCTCATTTAAGCAGCTAATCAAAAAGAAATAGTATCTATGAAAGTTCCTAACAGAGTAGATAGGGCTTAGGATTGCTTTATGATTGTTAAATACAGGCATACCTCGTTTTATTGCGCTTCACTGATCTTGCAGGTTTGGTTTTGTGTGTGTGTGTGTGTGTGTGTGTGTTTTGTTTGTACACATTGAAGGCAAGGCCCTCTACCAGCAAGAAGGTTACGACTCACTTTATTGTGAGACTTGCTTTATTGAGCTGGTCTGGAACCGAACCTGCAATATCTCAGAGGTCTGCCTGTAAATCAGTAATGATGCTGCTTTACAACCTATTACATTGTAATTTTTCTTTTCTTTCCTTTAGCTCTAAAACAAATCCTGAAGTCCATAATTACCAGGTAAGATACTGCTTTTAAAGGTTTTTATGTTATACTTCTTAAAGCTTTTAAACTTTCCACACTGAGCAGTTGTTTATAGACAGATTTTTAAAGAAATAATAACAATATGGTTTTTTGAGAAAACGGAGAGAGGAGCATCTCCTTCCCCACCCCCTACCCCCACGCCCTCCCCCCCACCTGCTTCCTCTTGGTCATCTGAGTTGCCTGTTTCTCTTCACCGTGTCAGCTGGCAAGCAGCAGGGACAGATGTTGACAGTCTGGGGGGTCAGACAGACTCTGAGTGGCACTGAAGTGAGGCCACTTCATGTCCAAGTGTGTTCTAGGCCCAGGGGACGTGAGCCCCTTGAGGTGTGCCTCCAGGAAAGGATGTCTGGCCACACGTTTGAGAAATGTTGCGTCCTTCATGACCTTTTAGATCTTACAGTGTCCACTGGGGTGTCCAGCATACTGAGAAATCCTGCAAGAAAGACATGTTGTTTTTTTCAATCCAGTGTTTCCCAAGATCGTTTGATTATTGGACGCCTCTCCCACCCCCAATAAAAACACTAGCTTCTCTCCTCACCCCCCACTGCCCACCTCCTTTTCTCTGGTGGTGTACCCAATAACATCGATGCAGCAATGGCCTCTGGAACCTCCTTGGTAAGTCATTGGGCTGGGCCTGTTCTGCAGCAGGGGCACAGAGCCGGTGCCATGGCTGGCAGTCTGCTCTTTCCCAGGGTGGCCAACAGGGCCAAACCCTGTGCCTGCCCACCCATCTCTCCCCGTGGGTAACTCTCACTGGCCGTTCAGTCTTTTGCAACCTGGCGGCGACTTCCTTTCCTACATTTCTTTCTCACCGCTACTCATCACAACATATGCTCAGTTCTCAGACAATTACATCATCGTTGCCCCCTAACTTCTTCCCACCATGCCTTGGACCATACTCATCTGCCTGGAATTCCTTTGCCTCCTGTCTGGAGAGAGCCCGCCTCAGAAGCCATCTCCTTCCCAGAGCCTCTCTGGCCCTCTTCACTGGAGGTCACCAGCACCAGTGGTTCCCAGCCCTGCCCCACCGTCTGGCAAGCTTCAAACCAATGACCGGGTCTGGGGCCTCCCCCTGCGGGGACTGAATTGGGAGTCTGGGTATGAGAGAGCGTCAGAGCTCCAGAGGTGGTTGTCACGAGCGGCCAGCTGGGGAACCCTGGTGGGCAAGGTGCCCTCACTTCCTCCATTGTCATTTGTTTGCCTACAAGAGGCAGCATCCACGTCTGATGACCCCCCAACTTGGGATCAGCTTTCTTGTCCTGGGCGTTGTGGATGTCTAAGGGGCACGACGTGCCCAGGTGTCTGTGCCCTGCCACCAATCTGGTTTTGCGTGTCACAGGAACGAAGCGACTTTATCATGAGTCCGCATTGGAGCCTCGTTCTAACTAGTCTCATTCTTGATCTTCTGTTCCTAGATACTAATTCCTCAGGTGGGGGTGGGGTCCCCAGATACATTATCTTTATGAGGGCTCCACATTATGCTCCAGAAGAAATTTGTAGTATTGTCTTCCGTACCTGAAGTCATCTTCCCGCTGTGCAGAGCCTGCCCGTGGCTTCCAGGTTTAGGGAATGACACCTGAAGGAACTTTGCACCTGCCAGGGGACGGGCCGGTTTCCTGATCTCCTGGCCTTCTTTAGGTTCTTGAATCTTCTTATTCAGATTGGTTTTTGAGGGGTTTTCGGGTGTGAGTGGCTGGAATGTTGTGCGGGAAGGGAAGAGTTGTTGGGGATTACTGTGTGAGTGACAGGAAAAAGTAAATGAAGCAAAGCCGTCCTAGCTCAGCGCCGCCCCGGCCGTCTTCCCCCCAAGCCTCGTGGGTGAGCGCGCCCTGCACGCTCTGCTCACGGTGCACGGCGAGGCGCTTGTTTGTTGCAATCAGATCTACAGAATCTGTTTCCTACGCATTGTTGTTCTCAACATTTTTGGCAACCACTGGGCCTCTGTGCCTCGCTGCTCTCAGAGGTTCTGCGTTGCTCTGTCAAGGATCGGGAGTCAATGGACCGGGAAGAGAACATCCTGAGAAGTGGCCTGATAAGCATCTGAGTGCTGAGAAAGGGTTTCAGGAGGATGGGATGGGATTGCAGCGTGTCTTATTCTGAGCTCAGCAAGGCTAGCCAACTGCAGAGGATGGATTGCTGTGTTCCCGCTGAGAACGCTCCTGGCATATGGGGAGGGACGGTTCTTCCTTGTTTGGGACTGTCCCTAGAGTTACAGGATGTTTAGTTTCCCTCTTCTCTGCCCAATCATTAAAGGTAACCCCCCTGTGGTTTTAACAAGCAAAAATGCACATAGATATTTCCAGTTGTCCCCAGGGAACATAACTGCCCCGATTGAAAACCTTCTGGGTTAACATGAAAAAAATACTCCTGGGCAGCTTGTGAGTAAGTTGCCAGAGGACACCAAGGAACGGTCTGGAGTATCCTTCCTCTGGGTCCTTGTGGATACGGTACCCACGCCGTCTCCCAGGAATCTGATGTGGTTGTGTTTGAAGAGAGGGAGTAGGAGGGCCGTTTCTAATCTGTTCCTCTTTTTTCTTGAAGACCCCGTTGCTGGAGCCTCACTTGGGGCCAGAACAGTTAGGCTTTGGGCAAATCTTCTCAACTCTCTGGGGTTCTGTATCCCCTCAGAGGGCAACGTGAAGAGAGTGCATCGGGGAGACTCTAAAGCCCTGGTCAGCCCGCACATTCTGCTGCGGAGGGGTTTCCTCCAGATCCATTCTCCTGCAGCGCTTCCTATCGGGGGCTGCCGACTTAGCTTGCTGACAGGCGTCTCGGAAAGAGAGAGGCCTCTGGAACACCGAACAGGCAGCAGGGAGGGCATCTGGGGTCTGGGAAAGCAGAATTGCTGAGAATTTTCCATAACAGAGAGTAGCCTTCTGCTTATTAACCAGAGCAGCAGGGACGGGGAGGAAATAATTAAAAAAGTGATGGTGGCAAGACTGGAGTGGCTTAAATGTCAGGCGGGCCTCATTTGCCAGGTAGAAAGTTTAGCCTTGAGAAGCACCCTGGCTTCTGGCTATGTCTGGGACCGCTGCCCTCTGCAGGCCAGACGTGGATGGGCACCCGCCACCCAGCCAGCCCCAGCCAGTGTCTTCCCTGGGTCATTTTGTGGGTCATCAGCCTGGATCTATGTGCCCATCTTCAAGTGGACCAATTTCTTCCCTCCGTTTTGTCACGATAATAAGTGGTCTGGATGATTTGGGGGGTATTTGGGGTCATGCTTTAGAAAATGATTTTTACTGTTCAAACAAGGGAGAAGGCGTGTTCCCACAGCCTATGGTGCCCCTTCCTGTCCTGGTCTGTGTGTGTGCAGACGTAGATGTTACCCACGGTTGCCATCATTTCCAGCAGTGACAGAAATGGTTTCTGAACATTGCCGACCAGCCTCCCTGTCTTTCTGGCACCTTCCGTCTGTTCCCTTGTTCCCTCGGGAGAGGTGATTGTGGCCTGTCCTGGGCACTCTCGGGGGGACCCTTTCAAGGCCGATGCCTTCCCCTTTCTTCCTGGGCAGCTTCCCAGCCCCAGCCTTTGTCCAGGGGAAATGTGATCGTCCTGGGAAATGTCCCCCCCCACCCCCCAGGCTCCCCGCCAGCGTTCGTTTATAGCCTTTCCATTCACAGCCCCTTAGGTGGATGTCAGTAAAAGAGAAAGTGAATGAAGACCATTGAAATCAGAAGGTCATCGAGTAATCACATTTGGTGTTTTCTTTCTAGCCTCAGTATCATCCCAATATTCACCCCAGCCAGCCACGGTGGCACCCTCACTCTCCAAACGTCAGGTAAGTGCCTGAGCTCACAGAGCTGCCCCTACACAAGTTCTTTTCTCTGAAAAGTTCAGCTTCTACTGAGTCATGAGTTAAAGTTCTGCATCAGCAGTCGCCGTGAAGAGTGGCCTTGTCACGGCCGAGATAAATCCTGAGCAAAGCAGAGGCAGCCAGCGAGACTCTGGATTTGCTCAAGTTATGCTTTCTGACACCAAAATGCAAAATGAATTGGGCCAGGATTTTTGTTTTGTTTTGTTTTTTTAAGTCATTCTAACCTCAGGAATTTTGAGTTTGGTTTTGTGTTAGAAATGTTACTTAAAATGTCTAAGTAGCATTTCCCTGTCCTGAGAATTCATTTATAAAAATATGACGAAAGCGTGGAGATTTTTGTTGTGGATTTTTTGGACAGAGGTTTTTTGGTGTTTTTTTTTCAGGGGTGGAGTGAGGGCTTCCTTTTTTGTGGCAACGGATCTTTTTTTCTAAACCCAGGGGTCAGTGACATTTTTTCCGTAAAGGGCAAGGTAGTCGGTACTTTCGTCTTTGTGGTCTCCGTCACAGCTGCCCAGCTCTGCCATTGTAGCCGGAAAGCAGCTGCGGCCAGTGTGGAAGTGCATGGGTGTGGCTGTGCGCCAATAAAACTTACGGTAATAAGCGGCGAGTGGGCTGTGCCTGCTCCCCTCGGCCCTAACCCACCACGACCCTTCCCAACTACACCGGCACCTGCCTTGTGTTTGTAGTCAGGCTCGAGAGCGTTTTCATGCCAGCTTTGTCAAGGCAAACGTTCCTTTTAAGACCAGCTTTCATGGGTGTTTCTGTTTAAGAAGCTCGCTTGGAAACATGGCTGGTGAGTTCCGCGCGCACGGTTATTTCTTGGCGAGGCAGCCTTGCTCTGCGAGAAAGCGCCGAGGCCGGAGTGATGGGACCAGGTCTGGTCAGAGCAGGGCAGGCGGGGGCACCTGGTTCTTGACAGTTCTGACCACGCTTCGGGGGGACCCTGTGGGACAACAGTGCGGTTTTAGCATAAACACACGATACTTGTGTAACTTCCAAAGCAAGTCAGACTGGTGGAGTAATGATTCTGGATTGCAAAGGCAGTTTATTTTGCAGACGTGAGAAACAGAAGAGGTTTATAGAAACGCTATTTTTAATAGCCTTGTTTTGACAGAATTTTATGCTCCTTGCTGCCGAGTGTATCATATTAGTTTCCTTCGGAGGCATGACCCTGCCCAGCCTTCCACAGGGTAATTCTGAGGAAGGCTGGTACCAAGCTTCTCTCGGTGGCCCGCCTGCCTGGGAGCATGTGAATGCAGATTCACGGGCCCCCGCACCTGCTGGATCAGAATCTCCAATGGGGCCCAGCATTTTGTGTTTTATCAGGCCCTACAGAGAGTTAGAGAGGCGCTGTCTGAGATACCTACCCGAGGAAAAGAGAGCTCATTGTTCCAACACTTTTGGCAAATGCTGCATAAGACATTCACGGGGCACGTGCACATAACAGCCTGAGACGTCCCCTAGCAAAGGCACCTTTTCCACCTTGACCTGGCTTCCCCCAGACCGACCTTTCGGGGATGATGGCCCAGCCATAGCCAGAGCTTTTCTCCCCTTGGAAGCGGGTAGATGACCTGCAGCAGAAAATCCATCCATTTCTGCTTGTAAGCCGTTCCGTTCCTGTCGTTCGTGGTTTACCCCGCCCAGTCCCTTTGTGCTCATGTTGTCTCACTCTTTTCTGAGTTTCCTTCCATCCCCCCACTAACCATTCACTCTGCAAACGAAACAGGCCATCCTTTGAGGATGACAGGCCGCGTTGGAAAGCGCCGGCCAGTGCAGACGACAGCCATCTCGATTATGTCCACAACCAGAACCAGAAGAACTTAGGAGGCGTGCAGAGTGTGGTGTGTCGCGATAAACTCATGACTGCGCTTTGAGGGACCGGCCATCTCACTTCCATGCTCCATCCCCGTTGCATTCCATCCCATGAAAGGTGTCTGGGCGTCGCGTGGCTGCGCTTGTAAAGGTGTCTGAGGGATAGTGCTGAAAGGTGTTTTCCGTGCCCGTGTAAATATTGGAAAGTAATCCCCATAGCTAGTCCCAACGTACTGTTGACTGCATTCTCAATAAAATGAAGGTAGGTAAAGGCTCAGGAATCACGTTGATGTTCTGATTTTAAAATTGGAGTAAAAGTCTATGTGTATTGTATTGCTATGTACCTGATATTTCTTTGTTATTTAATGAGTGGGACCAAATAAAACCAGGGAAACGTGGGAAGATAGCTCTGCAGAGAGTACCAGTGATGTGGTGGGGATGGAGATGGCTGGAGTTCAGCCTCTGCCATTGTGTGGTCTTAGACAAGCCATTGCCCCTTCCAGGCCTCATGTTCCTCATCAGAAAAGACTGGGTTGGACTAATCGATCGTCAAGGTCCTTTCCAACTCTGAAATTCCGTGATCCATTGAAATATAATATTTCTAGGCTGAGGCTATAACATGCAAACGATCTCATAGGAAAATGGCAACATCCCCTTCTCTAATGGAGGCCACCCCATCCAGAAGCTAAATGAAGTGTACGGACTGGTTAGATGTTATACCATGCAGGGAGACTCTGAATTTCAGGTCCGAGGACAGTTTAGCCACTTGGAGTTTTAGAGATTTGACTAATCATAAGCTGCATAGCATCCATTTTGGTAGGATTTGCTGCTTGAGAACAAGAATAATTTTTTAACGTTTTAATGATTGGTGCTGCTAACTTGCATGATTGCAGAAGACATGATTATGGATAGATGCTGTCGGAATTTGTAGAACTTGAGGGTTGGGTTTTTACCCCAGACATCACTCTTTTATGACGCTACATGCCATCTCAGCACATATGGCGTAAGATTTTAACGACGTTGTGCCAAAGCATTCTGTAGATGAGGACAAGAGGGGTGTTGCACAGTCTTTTGCTAGAACCAGAAAATTAATTTGTCTTTTAGGGTAGAACTAGTACCAGTATATTTATTTTCCCCCATTTCAAGCCACGAGTCAAACATCATTTCTCTTCATAGGTAGGCCAGAGATGTTTTTCCTTAGAATTTTTGTGAAATCAGTTCCCGTGCCATTTTTATATATGTCATTGTAAATTCGGCCCATTTCAAGCCTTTAACAGCATGTCTTGACATCCCTTGAGAATTTTATTGCTGAAATCTGAAAATTTTCTTTGGTTACCACAAAACCCTCTCCAGAAGGAGGGAATCGGCTGGCGCACCCTGCACAGTGGGGTCTGTGTCGTAGAAACTCCCCCCCAAGACATTTGTTTACAAGTATATTCCTGATGCTCCATATGTCCTGATGCTCCGTGTCTGTGCTGCGTCCAAATAAATGTGTTCTGAAGCTTTTAATCTTATTGATACGTTTTTACAAATGTGTTTCCCAAGAATAAAGATTATTCTTGCTCGTTGTGACTCGATCTTCATTTTGTGCTGGCAGAAGGAACATTTGTGGGGGACGTAGGGGATGTGACCGTGCACTCTCCGGGGTCTGACGGCAAGTGTTCCGTCAGGTGGCACGGAGCAGCTCCTGCTACTGCCCTTGGGGGAGTGGCTCTTGCAGGCAGTGGCGGAGCCATGTCCTCATCGGGAGCAGTTCTGGGGAAGGAGCCTGGCCCTGGTCCCAGGTGGCAGTGGGTGTGTCCTATCGCAGTCCTGTCGTGAGCACGGGCCTGTGTCCGGGACACACAGGACAAGCTGCTGTTCCTGGGAAGTGACTTCCAGCCCTGTGTCTGTGGCCCCTGCAGATTGTGTACTCTGTCTAATGCATCTAATAAATACCTTGTGCTTAAAGCAACGTGTGTGGGCTCAGTTGTCTGTGACCGAGAAAGTCTAACCCGTTTGCATGCTTCCGGCCTCCTCATGGTTAAGTCACGTGGACACTGTTTCTTCCTCAGCTGCGTGGACCTCTGTGCCCTTGGCTTCTGTGGTGTCTGAGTCTCCGGCCCTGGGACTTTCTCTTCGGTCTTTGTACCTCCTGTCATCCTCTGAACTATTGCTCTTTCCCAGGAGTCCCTCCTCTGCCCACTGCTCTCCTCACTGTCATGTCTCCCTGGGTCTTCTCATCCCATCGTGACTTTATGGTGCTGCCGACACTGAAACCATTCTCTCTCCCTCAGACTAGACTGACATTTCAACTTGTATATTCCAAGTACATCACAAACTCCACGTGCCAAAAATTTACATTTCCCCTCTCTTATTACCAAAAGGGGAAAAAAAGTTTACCCCAGTTCTCTCTTTTTTACCCACGGTAAAAACTTATATATCATTGGCATCTCCTCTTCCTGTCGCCACGCGTATCCAGGAGCCCTCTCCTTGGTATTTTGTTCAGCCGCCCTCTCTCTTTGCCGCTGACCTTGATCTTTCCTCTGGCTGCGAGGTGCTCTTCCTGATCTCCCTGACTCTGATCTCTCCTGACAAGCGCGTTCTCCTCACAGCCCCCAGAGAGAGCTTTCTGAAACACCATCTGATGGTGTCATTTCGTTGCTTGACATCTGCCAGGGTTCTCCATCACCCATGGGACGAAGCCCAAGGCCTTCTCTGTGGAATCCCCCTGCTCTGGCTAGCATAGCTCCCATTCCTCACCCTCCTGTTTAAGCTCCTGCAGCTCCACACTGCCTGTAGTTCCTGACATTCACCATACCCTGCTGTCACTCCCATCTGTGCCTTTGCAAACACTTCCTTCTGCCGAGAATGCTGTCACTCCCCTCCCCTTTGCCCAGCTCCTGCTCATACTCACGTTTCCACTCAGCCTCGGTCTCCCAGGGATCCTGACTGCCCCCAGCTCTGCAAACTGGGTTAGTGCCTGTGCTCTATCCCACTGTCCCCACCCTCATATATATCAGTGGCGCACTTTGTATTGACACTGCCTCTGAGTCTCATCCTGGGGCCTGTACACAGCTCTTAATTAAGTCTGACTTTGTGCCACCTCCACCTTTGTTCCCCAGTGCCTGATGGGTAACAGGTGCTCCATGAATGTCTGTTCAGCAAATTAA